ACCCGAATTTTAGGCATAATTTATATATTTCATTTGTGGGATTTTTATAGCCACAGCATGGTGAAAAGATCACCACAACATGGCATTCTGCCAGATTCGCGTTTGCATTAAATGCTTGCCACGACGTGGCCATGCATTTGCCATGACATGGCAACTAATTTTTGACAAACCCTAAATTTTGGTTGTTGTGCATTATTTATAGGAAGTGTTGTTCAGGGTTTTCTCCACCCTTAGCCTTCATCACCTCCTAAAGGGTTCCTGAGCAAACCCTAATCTCCTTGCAATTTTTTAGATCATTTTGGTGTCTTTGGTGCACTTTGAAGGAAGAAGAAGAAGGTCTTGGTGCAAGGATAAGCAAAAACTTATCCCCATCCTTGAAATCACTCGTTGGGCCATTTGAAAGTCCTTAAGTTTCCATCTTTGTGATTCCTTCCTTGTGGATCTATCCTTCTCCGCATGTTTTGGATTCATAGTTGTGATTTGATTGATTCAATGAGATAAATTTTGCAACTTTATAACTTATCAAGGTCCTTTGATCTGATTAACTTATTGATCTAAAATTGGTTGAGTTTTTAGAGTCATGCATGGGGTTTAGGTCACTTTTCTCATGTTTTAGACAAGTTAGGTGAAGGACATGCATGTCCATAAATTTTGTATTTTTCTGAGCCTTTAGGGTCGCGAGAAGCATTTTGGAAATTTAGAGCCAATGGCTTAATGAATTGACAGTTGAATCAATTAAGTTACCTTTATGTAGTTTCCACGACGTGGTGACTTTCTTGCCAAGACGTTGAGGATGGTCTGGTCACAGTTGTTCTGTCTGGAATCTGCCACAATGTGGTGCATGACCACCATGACATGGTAGCGAGCATTGATGAAGATCAAGTTGGATGGCTAGGATGTGGCCATTGTCTGCTAACGATGTGGAGGTCGGTTGGAGTTGACTTTGACCGTTGACTTTTTGACTTACTTGACTTTTACTAAAATTGATACTTTTAGAAGGAAGACTAAGGTTTACCTTATATGATTTAGTAGGTGATGTGTAGCACCCACTTCTTGATTGTGTTAGCTAGTTAGTTGTTAACTACATTTGTGAGGTGAATCTTCTCACTATACTATGTAGGTTGCTAGACTGTTTTTGTGACTTTAGCATGGAAGACCATGGGGGGACCATGACACTTGTAGGGAGGACCATGGCAGCCATACTGAAAATTATGGGAGGACCATAGTAGTGAAAACTTTAGGAGGACTATAGTAGTGAGTGACTGTAAGATTATGGGAGGACCATAGCACTCACACGGTATGTATGTTATGTGGTATTTTAGAGAACTCACTAAAATTGTATTCACACGGGGGGTCAAAGGAGTCTTGCCCCCTTGCAAGGCTCGAGAGGCGGTGCCCCAAAAGGTCTTCGGAAAATTGAATTAATTTCTTTAAGGAAAATTCGATTTCTAATGGGTGATTATGGTAAGATTGACAAATCTTGTTAGTTTTGGAAACCATTAATTAAGTCATTAAATTTGTGATTCTCTTAACTAATTTAGAACACGGAAACCCTAATCTATCAAAGTATAAATATGGCTTCTTTATTGAGCCGTCACTAGAAGTTTAGAACCTAACGAGGCTCTCTCTCTCTCTCTCTCTCTCTCTCTCTCTCTCTCTCTCTCTCTCTCTCTCTCTCTCTCTCTCTCCTAGAACAATCTTAGAATTCACTAGCAATTTTGGCTCACATTTTCTATGCCTAGAGTCTTGAGTGTCCATTTGGATTATCATAGACGGAAATTCTTGTAACCCGAACGTAATGTAGAAATATCAGTTCGGAAAACGAACTCACACAATCCACTAGAAATCCGGTTCTTGAGTTCTTCACCATAACCTTAATATATGTGTCTATACCCCCAACATGTTCTTGGATCCCATTTATGTACATATACCATTAAAGTGGAGCATATCAATAAAATTCATATACATCCTATGGTTGTTTAACTTTAACTTATATCAGTCTAATGGTCTCAAATGGAGAGGCTTATTTATCTTAATATTGTTATGTATTATTATGTGCTTATCCGAAATAAATCCCAACACTTGTAACATGTTTCTTTAAGGGCTTTAACATAGAAAGAACCAACATGCCTTGTTTCAAAAGATTTGTTGAATTGATGTCTTTTATGGATAGCGATGTCAAGCATAACTCAAAACACGATAGTGATGACATCCTTTTATGCATTTGCACATATTATTCTAGGGGATCAAAAAATATATAAAAAAACAAAACACTAGTAAATTATTCCTTTCACCATTCAAATCAAGATAATTAATAAGCCTTTTTGCGTGGAGCTCAAAAGTAGCTCACATGACTGTTTTTCACTTGTGAGAGTAAAAAGTTATAATAAACAGAAACCATAAACCCTCCAAGTACGCACCTCATATTTATAAAGAAAATACTGATTGTATTGGTCCACAAAAAAAATCTACATTGTAAAATACACATACAAATTCAACTTGAAGATTGAAGTATAATCATAGACAAGAAAGAAATACCACATTAATGTGGTGTAGCTTTGCTAAATACCCATGTTGAGTTGATAGGAAAAGAGCATATATAATATATTCTTTTAAAGGCTTGACATGAAGAACTAAAAGTTGGGGAACATATTGAATCTTTCTCTATGACTTTGGGCTACGAATAGCTCTATTTAGTGCCCTACAAATCCTTGGAAAGAAGTGAGTGAGCAGATCTTGACAAGAACCCATTAACAGATTTCGCTTTTGTTTAATCAAATCATTCTTTACCCCAATATACTTTGTTCCATTCTCACTAACCATTTATGTCGTGTTTTCTCTTGCGTTTGCTTTTTTCTCAATTCCCTAGTTCTATTCCAATTTTCGAAGAGAAGAAAAAGTAGGGGTGACATTGTGTAGCTACAGGTAGATAAGAGAGACCCTACCAATTTATGTGATAGTCCAATCATACATATAGCTAGCATAATGGTTCTCTTTTTTATCTAAGTCAAAGTAAAAAAGGTCATTCATATAACTGGATGCCATGTGGTATTGTGTACAAATAGTTTACAACACAAAAGTCTATATCAAACAAGTTTCAGCCGTTTTTTACTATTTTTTATTGGGTGTTTGTTGAAACATCCCTACTAGTTTACCTGGCAATGTGAAAGTATGAAATCGGTGGAAGACCAGTGCATCAATATGCGATTGCTTTTATATTATAATATATAGTAGTTATTGGTGGAAAATAAACCTGAAATTGTTATGTTCATAGAATATGTTCCTTTCGAGATGTTAAGAACTACAGAAAACGACAACATGTTGACCATGATATCTTTGAATAGATCTTGCTACATATCATAAGTGTTCATTCTTGGATCAATAACACGATCACCATAAATATCTAAAGAAACGAGAATAATCACACACACAAATATATATATATATATATATATATATATATATATATATATATATATATATATATATATATATATATATATATATATATTGATTCAGTCGATATGACTTACGTCCAGGCTTAGAAGGAAATATTCGTATTCTTGAAAAAATAATATTACAATTCTGCGTGACCTTTTAAACGATAGCTACCATTGGTTACATATATAGCCAAAGTACAATATTAACCCTAGCTAGAAACCATTTTGGGTCTCTATTTTGTTAGGCTGGAGGAAGTGGTGCCACCAAAACCGCACTTCCTCCTATGCCACATAGACGCCAACTCAGATTTTTTTCTTATTTCATCAACTAGAAACCGCAATGAGGGAGTGGGAAAAATGTTAGGAGAGAGAAAAAAAAAAAAAAAAAAAAAAAAAAGATAATTGGTTGAGAGAAGAGAGAGAGTGCAAGTAAAAGAGGAGAAAGAGAAAAAGAAGTGCGGCCATGGACTACCACACTGCGGCCAAAACCGCAGAGAACTGCAGCCTGGGAACGGTGTGCACGGCTGAGGTGGCACAAACCGCGGCCCCAAACCGCAGCCACACCTCTAGCCTTAGCTAATTATATGCTAGTTAGCTAGTGGTCAGCTTGCTACTGGTAAGCTAGCTACTCATACGCTAGCTACCAATCAGGTAGCTCAAATCACATCTAACAATATATTGTGTACAACTTTAGCCATTAGAAAGCATATCTTTGTGTGAAAACTGTAAAGTTGGTGCTAATGGCTTTATTTATGTTTTTCCTTTGTTTTTGCTTTAGTTGGACCCTTGGAATCCAAACCAACTGTAGTAGTAGCATACAAGACAATTATAGGTAATCGTGAACAATACTAGAAAGTGGGCCATAATGTAATTTGTCACATGTTTTTTACGAGCGGGGGTAACAGACTAATAATAGCATCCTCAACATAAAATGTCGATGTATTATGTTGATCCCTTGGATTTTTGTGAAGCTGAAAACATCAGTTGTCAGAAAACGCGTATTCTTGATATTGTTGCATATTTAGATTACAGTCAATGTCATTTTTAAATTGTAACGAAACATGTAAGGTTACCTAAAAATGTTTTACTTTATATGTATTAAGATTTAGATTTCAAAAATTGGTCTATGTTCCAACATTAGCTTTAATTATTTCCCACTTTCTATTTTCTTGATCTACTCTTATATTTAATACATTACGATCGATTTAGATTTGTGTCGATAGTTTTCATAATTCAAATGTTTATAATTTTGGTTTCAAACATTGTGTAAAGTGGTATATATAGTACAAAATTTTAGTACTTAAATTTGCCATATAAGGTAGAACGTTGAGAAACATTTTGTACTATTTTTCCTTAATGTTATCACATTGTGTTGGAAAACGTGTTACTGTGACTTCTGAGGAAAGTTTGGAATAAATCTCAGTATAATATGTTCGTTGTGTTGTTTCCTCGAAAACAGACATGCTGTGTAGTACTTGTATTTCTGCCTTTTTGGTTTGATCATATTTTATTTATTAATCTTAATTGTAAGCAGTCAAGAAGAAATGTGGCAAAAAAACATTTTAGCAAAACATATTATTATACTTAGAAACGATTTCATTGGATTTTTTCAACATGGAACAACAATAACAAACGAATGTGAAACAGATATTTGCAGCACAAGTAGGAACTACATATGGTTAATAATCATATCAACAGACCATAGAATTTTCTAGTGTAAATGTGTGATTTAAAATCGTATCCCACAATATTTGGCAACATTACATTTTCAATCCATATCACCAGTTTAATGTTTGAAGCATAATAGCTGAAGAGATACAAAGCTTATACTCGATGGCACATTTAATGTAATGTACCTAAAAAAGGAGGGAGTTATATATGTATATTCTTATAGAACATCAAAAATTATAACCTAACATTCTAAAAAGTTTAAACCAAAAATAAATTTCAAAAAATAGTAAATACCAATCTAACTACACAAATCCAAACCCATATTTTCAAAGTTGAAACCTCACAAAAGAGATCAAGATTTTCGCCACCACCTTAAATTCCCCTCACTCACTTATTTTACTTCTGTTGCCTTTTACCAGAATACGACTATGATGCTGCCAAAAACATAAATAAATAATAAGATCTTAAACACTCGAAAATATTATTTTATTATTTATATAAAATGCAAAACTATTGAGACTAACCGAGGAAGGAGCTGAATGAGTTAAGCTTTGGACTGGAGACTGGATATTGTAGACCTTAATATCTCATCCCCAACTATTGATCTCAACTTCTTAATAAACTCTTCACGGCTCGTTTTCTTTCCCTACATATAAAAAAAATCATTTATAAATTCAAAAATGATTCGATACAACAGACGATGATGAGTGTATTTGTACATGTACATACCCTAAGAGAATCATACAAGATACGAACTAGCTTCATGTCAGCTGGAGCTACTTTATCTGAAATAGCTTCAAAAAGCTTTGAGAATGGCATCCATGGGGAATTAGGAGCCCTAGAGGTGCTTGATCCAACACTCCCCACCTTTTCTAAAGACATAGGAGATGCTTTCCCACTTTGAAATTGCATTTCATTCTTTCCCTAAAAATTTAAAAAAAAAAAAATAACAATAATAACACAAAAAGAATCGATACAATCTTGAATATATGATAATATCACCTTCCAGTCACAAATTTTAAGGCTATGGTAGTAAAATAAGGTTTTTCCAGTCACAAATGTTTAATGTTATCTGTTAGGCTTTTACAAGTCAAAATACTCACCAATTTAAGTGGGGAGGAATCTATCATTAAGGGTCCATGGGGAGGTTGAGTTGTTAACTTTGACATGTCAACCCTACTTCGCTCTATAATCAGATTCCCTGCTGTATTATCATTCAGGAATATAATTAATTATAAGGTCTTTGCCTCTAGGATGATATATTAATGGGTTATTTTGTATTCATATTCATAGTTTAATTAAAAAAATAAAATAATATTACTACCTTGAGCAGTATGACTAGGAGACATCTTAAAAGTGAGTGTGTATTCCGGATAGATATGTGTATTCATATTCATATTCCAAACAACAAAATGATTTGGATTTTCCAGATTATCAACTCCACAGTCAAAGCACTCATCACTCGGGTAAAATTGTTTAGACCCCGGTAAAACAACTTCCATATTTCCCAATATTACACGGCATAAAACCATGCATTGTATTTGTATTTCTACCCCTTTTTCGTCAACATCACAAATAATATCTTCACTGTAACACCACCAAAACATTAGATCTTTTTCTTTTTCTTTTCCTTTTTCTTTTTCTTTTTTTCTTTTAAAAATAAATATCCCACGAAAACATAAAGCTTATATTTATATAACACCCATACCTGTTGTGGGCAGAATCGACAGCTGTAAAGTGGACCCCATAGCCATACCTTCCGAGTTTTAGCCCATCATGTCCTAGCCCATAAACCCCCTTGGTGGTGGTGGAGGTGGACCCCACGGGGCTTGCAAACCAACCGTATCTGACATTCGCGTTTCCACGAACCTTTTTTGTAATTTCAGCCTGTGCATGGAAAAGATCTAGCTTCGATTCCATAATACCACCACAACATTTCTTCACTTCAATTATATCAACCTTCAAGCCTTGACTTTGACTTTGACTTTGACTTTTTATAAACATATTTCTCACGGTTTCTTGATCCAAAGTAGGGGATGCAGCATCTTCTTCATCAATCTGTATTTTCTCAACACATTGGTCAGCTTTTGCATCTAGATGGTTTTTAGTTTGACCTTCCTGGTCAAATTTGACCCTCTTAACGTTTGACTCTTCCACACATTCCTCCAAACGATTGTTACTTATTTCGTTTAGTTCGATCTCAACATGCAACTTAATTTCAGGGTCTATTTCAATTTCACTATCTTTCTGAATTTCATAATTGTCAGGGAAAAAACAGCTACCTTTTTCATCAATCCAAGCTATCGGTTTTCGTGCCCCGTTTTTCAAATCTAATTCATTCATATGTAAAACATCTAACATTAGCTGACGCCCATTAAACTTCACTTCAAATGCTGTTGTTTTTGCCATGAAGTGTTCTTTAACCAAGTCAATAACATCCTGGGAGAAATCATTCCATTGACCACCTTCAGAGAAAAGGACACGTTGTGGGAGTCCACTTTTCATAAAATTTGAGTAGTTTTTTAGTAAAATTTTTGAGGAAGAGGAGCATGTGGACTTGAAGCTATTATTATTATTTTCTCTCTTTCTCTTTAGATTCTTGTTCAATATTGATGCAAAACCAGGCCTCACAACACCTAAAGCCCTGTTGCTAGATCTGGCTATTTGAGATAATAAGTGCTTCCTCTTTGAAGTAACAATGACTCGACTACCAGTGTTGTTGTCTGATACTTTAACCCATTTTGATGCCATTTTATCTACACGCTTAGTAGTTGTAGTAGTAGTAGTAGTAGTAGTAGTATTTACACAAGTCAACCTAAAGTCTAGAGCAATTTACTATACTCAAAATGAGGTGGAGAAGGAATTGCAAATCCTGCATAAACAGAAGCCATTACAATGAGTTACTTTTTAAAACATAAAGGAAAAAAAAAAGTGTCAATCAATGATGTACAATTGTCTACAGAATGATAAAACAATGTGAAGGCATAGAAGAGAAAGATGAAGACATGTTATTTATTTTTTTAAAAAGTGGCAACTGAAATAATATGTGTATGTATCCACAAAGTAATCCTGCACATTAAAGATACTCGGTTAGAGCATATACATAGCAAAAGTTGAGCTTCTGAGAGTTTAATCACTAGCAATAAAAACTCTTTATACAGGAACAATTGCTTTGAAGAACACCTCAATAAAGACAAAAGTGATTAATTACTATTATAACCAAAAGATGATCAAAGGAAAACATTAAATTAAGCAGATTGAAGGTATGAGAGCATACCATTTCTTAAAATTGGCTTCAGCTCCGCATAATGCGGCCATTTCCCTTCCATTGCTTGAGATAGACAAATTCTTAATCCTACCATAAAGTAATTACAGCTCTAACAAGTACTACACTAAAACACAAAACTTTCATCAGCACAAATATATAGGAAAACGTTATATTGAACCATGGTTCCTTATGTTGAAGTTAGGAAGTCTTGGTGTGAAGCATATTTTGCAGATTAAATTGTTTATGTCGCTCGGATTACAAAGATATCATGTTAAACAGTTGTTTCAATGTGTACACTTCTTTTGAGAAATATTATTTTATTGAAAACAAGCATACACAGTTGTTCCTTTTGATGTGATGTCTGTAATCCTCCATTTAATTCCCATCTATGTCAAATTAAAGCCACACATATGTGGATCCAACTCACAAATAAGTGGCATCCCTAAGTTTTGCACAGTGACTGACATAAAGAACACAATAAACAAAAATAAAATAATTGGAAACATTAAATTTTCAACTTCCTAACCCTAGAAAAATCTTGGACGATAGTTAACCCACATAATTGTTAATCAAACTCAAGGATAAAATCGATAATAAACAAAATCGAAAGAAAACAATAGTTTAATGATTGTTCAACAAAAAATACTGAAGGATTCATTTGATTTAATCTGGGAAGAGTTTGATAAAAAAAAAATTATATAAGCTGCCGGTTTTAGTGACGGATCAAACCATATCTTCCCACAAAAAGTTCAGATATCACATTAAAACACAGTTCAGTACGGATCTGTCAAAGATCCTAAGCAATACCCTCGAATCCGGAAAAAAAAAAAAAAAAGCATCAATTCGATCAAAAGAACTTACCAACAAAAGAACTATATAGCCTCAAGCATAAATCACCGACTTCCGATGGGTATCGATGAACAAGATCAATCTACAAATTGATCCTTAACTAAGTCGTCGTTTCTGCAAACGAACAAAAGGCCCAAAGTTGAACTTTGGAAAGCAGAACGCGAAGATAACAAGACAGCGACGTTAAAGAGGCGATGACTTGGAATTGATTGGGGTTTATGTATGTATGTGTGTTATGTGTGAAATTGTTGAAAGGGTTTTGCTTGGCGGAAAAGAAAACAGAGGAGAGAGAAACGTCGGCGAGGTCGCAATTAGGCGTTCGGGTTCCGGGGAAAATTATGTGAGATGATTTAGGGGTAGTTGTGGAAGAGACGTGACACGGCGACGTTTCGATGTGTACTAATTACCAAACAGGCCGTTTCTGACTTTGTAAAGATTACCTTTCACAAAATATAGAGTAAACGACAAGTTTGGTCCTTTCTTTGTAGAGTTTATATCTTATGTGCCATGTGATACAAAAATAAATTGTGTTAGCTCCTTGCTAACTGCTTCAACTTTCGACTAGGGCAGCAGCTCCCTCTTGCACAACTCCCCCGAACAGCCCAGATCTTTTCTAAGAGGTTAGGTAGGTGGTTGAGTCGAAGCGGAGAAGGAGACTAAGTCATCGGCCGTGCCGGGATTTCTTTCCTACTTCCAGCTGAATGAGGACCACACAGCCGTCAACCCTGCTGGAAGTGCTTTCTAGATCCAATCTCCTGGTCTTTCGTTCGCTATTCGAATGTCTGGACCAGTAGAAATGTTACTATACTTATGAGTATGGTTTTATTTTATTTTATATTTGATTCATGAGAACTATTCCATTTACCTTGTCGTTATTGCTTTGAAAATATCATTTTTCGATTATTCATATATTTTTATAGTTTTTTGTAACGTCTCAAAATTTAAGATCAAATATTTTATTTTTATAACAATAAAACTATCATCCAAAACGTTTTCATAAAACCATAATGAAATCAGAGTATGTCAATAATCATACAAATACATCAGAGTCAAATAAAATGTGGAACGATATGGTGTGTGTGATGTGGTCATCCCGAGCTCTTCCCCTTCGATCCGGAAGTATTTAAAACATAAACTAAAAACCGTAAGCACAAAGCATAGTAAGTTCCCCAAAATACATCATATCATACATATCAAACATACAACAGGTCATGCCCAACAATCATTAGGCCCCGCCTGGCGTTGAGCTCCACTCATAACAAATCTCTCAATAACATGAGATGGTCCCCGCCTCATTACATTCATCAGGCTCAGCCTAGTATCGAGCCTGGCCCGGCATTCATACAGACACATAAAACGCATGCAAAATCACTAAGACAAAAAGCATACAATACTCATCAAGCCCCACTTGGCATCGGACCCCGCCCGGTATACATATCATATACTACACATGTAATAGTCATATAGACAACTAGCATCCTAATCAAAATAAATCATGGATCGACATTGGTGCCTTCGACCCGTTAAACACTTTGAGGAGACTCACCTCAAACTGCTGAAAATCAGATAAATGCTCGGACTGTTGATCTGGAAAGTCAAATAATCAGTGAAACCGCAATTAATAATTTGACCATAAACAATAATTAGCAATCTATTTCATTTGTCCAACTCTTGGGATAAAAGACAATTTTACCATTCCTTACATGGCCTAATAACCAAGGCCCGATTGAATGGCTCCAAAAGCCCAATATGGGCTAAATCCTAAATGATGACCAAAACCCATAATGCGCCTAAATACAGGGATGCCCAATGCCTGATAAGGGCCCAAAGTTAGAAGGCTAGTGGCCGAACAAGGCTCACAACTCTCAATAGCCTAAAAACAGCCCAAACTGCAAAGCCCATGGATCAAGCCTGGTATGTTGTGCGTACCAGACATACACTCACTTGATCAGAAGATGATCGGACAACACTACGGCTTGTAAAAGTAGTATTCTTTGGTAGATCTGGAAGATATTCACAAAAACCGGGCTTCTCGCGGGCAGAGCTTCGTCTCATAAACTCTACTTCTCGGGATCTTCGAGCTTTGGGATTTACTTCGAAGCTCGGGGATGATACCGGGGCTTCGGGATATTTCTTGCACGAAAAACGAGGTAAAATGGGAGAGAGAAGAGATTTTGGAAAAGGAAGTCGGCTGCCCTTGCATGCCTTTTATAAAGGCTGAGACTTGCATGTACGTTAGGTGTAGTTCGGATAAGAGGGCCACGTGGCGAGGTTTCGGTGGTGGTACGCATCTCTCTGTCGGACCGCACAAAACCAAAGTACGCTAGGCGTACTTAAAGGTTACACGGGGCGTACCCTTCGGATCAGATCGAGTGACCCCTCGGTTTCGGATATTATCCGAATTAAAATTTATATTTTAATTATTTAAAAACTTCCAAAATTCATATCTTCCTCAGACGAACTCCGTTTTTGACGTTCTTTATATCCACGCGTAGCTTTCGTTTAGACTCTATCGGGTAATTTTGAATTTATTTTTATTATTTATTTTTAGTAGGTTGGGACAGGAAAACTCCGTTATAAATTCATAAGTTATTTATCTGATGTCCGTTTTCGGCTGTCTTTTCACCGTTGCACTACTAATGACGAGATCTTCGATTCTCGTTTAGATTGCTTCGACTAAAAATCACTCGATCTCATATTTGAGTTTCAAGTTGCATATTGCTAAGTCGAAACTTCGGAAAATCATAACTTCCTCATACGAAGTCAGATTTGGACGATCTTTTTATGCACGCTCTCGTTTTAACGAACTCTACAACATTCGTTTAGATCACTAAGGTTAAATATCGCTCTATCTCAAATTCACATTTTACGTCACTCAGTGTCGTGTCGGTTCTGTCGCGAAACTTCGACAGGTCATAACTTCTTCGTTATAACTCGGATTTTGGCATTATTTATATATCGGGAATCCTTGTTTCAACCACTACATCTTCAAGCAAAGATAACGAGCTTATCTCACACTTTACTTTTGACGTTTATTTTATTTTTAATTCATTAAATTTAGTAATTAAGAAAACAAACACGTAATTCACATAATACTCAAATATTTCATCATTAATACTTCAAAAAGAGTTACAAAGTTAACCTAGACTATTACATCAACGATAATGTCTAGCCTGGAAACGTGGGCGTTACAGAAAAACATCTAACAATTAAATGATTATGGTACATTGTTAGGTGTGTCAAACCTAACAAATAATAGCACTAGAACAGACTCCAAATACACTGTTGTAATGCACTAAAGAGTAGTACAAGGTAAGCATGGTCGAACCACAGAGACACGGGATAAAAGTCTATACATCTTTGCGCAAGGTACTTTGGTTACAAAAGGGGGATTTGTTTGCAAAAGTCAAATAATGAAAATAACAATCAACTTTGAAACATGCAGAAAATGAAATAGATTTGTAAACAAGTTGTAAAAGTGCTTCCAGTTCTAGTTCTCAATGTTTCCATTTAACCTGATTATGACTTGATGTAATTTGTGATTGCTATTCTAAGTTGGTACTGAAAGATATTAACACGCTCTAATACCTCTCGCTTGCCAAATTATCTAACTAAAACACGCTCTTTGACTAGACCTAGCTTTACTAATTCAACCTAAAGACGCTTTTAGATTGTATTGAAAAATTGCATTAAGTTTTGTACAAGCTTCCCAACAATGTTCATTTCTTCTCATACTCCCGAAAGTGTGAAAACATGTGATATATGTTTTACAATAAGAAAACATATTGCTTGTTACCAATTATTAAATTAATAGAACGATTAGGTGCCCTAAAAGTTAATTAACTACACAAAAATTCAATTCATGAAAGTGGCCAATCAAACACAAATCAAATTTAAGGGTTCTAGTTTAAACAAAAACATAATCACTAGAATAGAATCACAAATCAAACATCAAATCGTATGCTTCAAGTCAAGCAATCAACATGTTTTGAACAAGAACTAGAAACTAGGGTTTCTTAGCCACACATGGCTAAGAACAAATCAAACAAGAATAAAGATGGAATTGGAATGTTTAATTCTTACAAAAATGAAATCCAAAGTGTTTGAAATGATTAGGTCTTCTAAAAAACTCCAAGAATTCTCCCAAATTCACCCAAGATCGCCAAAAACTGCTCCAAAAACCGTCTCCCCCAAAAAATGATGTATCTTCCTATTTTAATTAATGTTCACGTGCATGCCATGAGGCCATGCATTTTTGGCATGGCCATGCCTTTTGCCCATGTGTTTTTGGCATGGCTCATGCTTTTTGCTAAAACACAAATAAGTCTTCACTGTTGGCTCCATCTTCAATATAAATTCACCACAAGTCATGTTGTTCAAATATAAGATGCCAAAGGACAAACACGACCCGTGTCGGCGTGATAAGAATCGCATTTCAAACATAGTCCTTTGCTATGATAATAACACAATGACTCGGGTTCTATCTTCATGTTTTCTGTCATGGAATGACCGATTCATCTTCTCTTCATGCTCCAAAGCTCCAAGCATCCAAGCTCCATTCATCCATGCATCCATGCTCCACGTTTCATGCTCCATAATGCCTGTAAAAGAAATAAAAAATGGTAAAGTACCAGGCATTCTTAATGAAATATGCAATTTCCCAAATAATTAACTAAATGCAAGAATTATGAAGTAGAATGCTATGAACTAACAAACTTAACATGCAAAATAGGTGCATAAAATGCACCTATCACAAATGCAACCTAGGAAGGATTTATGCCATTCATATAAAGGCAACATACTATGAACTATCAAACTACAAAATTTTCCTATTAAAAATTACATTAGTATGAATACATACCTTGTTGATTGTTAGAGTAAACAACCAAGAATCCTTCTGTTGATCTTTTGGAAGCAACCACCACAAGCGTCGTGTATATAGTGGTTCACACCCAAACTAGCAAGAAGGATATTGAGGAGAAATGAGGGATGTGGGAAGAAATTTGGCCAACCCTTGGGGAATTATGAGTGTTGAAAATCAAAGTCTTAAGGCCCTTTGTATAGTGCAGCAAGGAAGCCCTAGATAACCCCAATCTGAATATAATAATAATATTTCAAATTGGTAATTATCCAGCTCCATATTTATCTACATTGGATATTCTAGAAACCCTAGAATATCCCCCAAAAACCGTTCATACCATTACCAGGAAGGTTCTGGAGCCTTTTGTTCAACTATTGAATAATTACACTTTAGACCCTGCATTTTTAATCAGTTCTTTTAATTACAAAATTAATTCCAATTAATTTATGATTAAATATTAATTAAATACTACTATTTCTAATTAATATATCATTCTCATAATATATTAATAAATAATTTATATCAATTTATTAATCAAATAATAAATCAACCTCTCTCTCCAAAAATCATCCTGTTCAGTTGCTAGTTTTGAGGGCAACCCAAAAGGAATGTGCTACTATCAATTTAAGTTTATACCAATTATA